GTGTGTGTGTGTGTGTGTGATCTCAGTGTGTGTGACCTCACCTCATCATCTCTTGGTCCAGGTGCAGATGAGTCTGAATCTACTGTCACAGAGTCCGTTGACCCTCAGTACACAGGTATTCACACACCTGGACACACCTGCATTAACATACTTGTATATTAAAGTTCTACGGTTTAATAAGATTAATAAATATGACCCGTTTCATCATTTTGTATCAAATTATCGTCTGTTACAACAAAAATAATGGTCCTGAAGTAAGAAAACGATAAAAACATAAATGTCAACGTCAGCAGAGAGAAAGAAGTAATATGGAGAGAAGAAGGCGTGAACTTTAATGGAACGTGACTTTGATGGTTTATGCTAGTTTCACATTTTCTTTCTTCAACAGATATGTCAGCTGATGGTTATGCAGGTATGTTAGTTCTCACACACTTTTAACATGTGCCGCTAACACGTTATAAAGTATTTTTTATATGTGGTGTTAGCATGTTCTATCATGTACTTCTAACATGTAACATATTTTAACATGTGGTTCTAACGTGTGATTCTGACATGTAAAGATAAGATGTTCTAACATGTGGTTGTTATTTACATATATTGTTTCCATCAACCACTCAGGAACATAAGCTGCTCCCAGTGGAACCTGATGGAACAAACTTGGGCTCTTTGAATATTAATAATACAAAACCCATCAGAACTTTAATTCTGAATGAATGTATTTTAACATGTGTGGACATGTGTCTCCAGATGTTTGATCAGCTGCTCTGTGTGATGAACAGAACCAGAAGATATAAGCATGAAAACATTCAGCGCACCTGAGTCAGGACAAACGTACCTGTCTGTCTTCTTATCCAATCAGAGAGGTGTGCGGCGGAGCCTCAGGTGGGTCCCTGCAGGGCAGCGTTACAGCGTTGGTTCTACAACCACCGCACAGGAACCTGTCAATCATTCATCTACGGAGGCTGCAGAGGAAACAAGAACAACTACATCAGCAAGGAGAGATGCATGGCTGCATGTGCAGGTGAGACATGCGCACCTGTCTGCACCTGTGTTACCTGAGTTGCTCACTAAAAACATGTTGGTGTCTCGTCCCCTAGTGTCCGTCCAGCCGTCCTCTAAGAAATCAGCTAATGATGTTTCCACAGAAAATAAAGGTCAGAAACAAACTGTCACTTCTGGGCTGTCTGTCCCGAGCAGCTGCATCAATAATCATTGTCTCTGTCTCAGATGAGTGTCGGTTGACCCCTGACCCTGGTCCGTGTCGTGCTGCGTTCACAAATTTCTTCTTCAACCCCAACACTGGCACCTGTCACTCATTCTTGTACGGTGGTTGCAATGGAAATGTGAACCGTTACAGCACCTTGGAGGAGTGTATGAGCCACTGCAGCCAAGACGGTAAAGACCAGATCTTCACGTAACACAGGTGACGTCTGTCCTTGCCTGACTTCTGTCCTCACGTTCTTTTCCTCCAGGTTCGTTTGACACTCGTGGGAAAAGTCGTAACCGCTGGACTGCAGGTCAGTTTTTCCTTTGAACAGAGGTCACACAGGTAACTTCTAAAACGTTGCAATTTTCTGATTGTAAAATAGAAGTCTAGGGAGTAATTCGTTTCAAAATAAAAGCATATTTTACTGATCCTGGTTCAGGTTTTCAAAATAAAAGCTTGATCGTCACCTTCTCTCCCCAGCGTTCTTCCTCTTCATCACTCTCGCCTCCATCTCCGCTCTACTGCTGGTGACACTCATCCTCGTCTCTCTGAGACGTCACCGTCTGTCCCGCCGTTCCTCCATCAGGTAAGGTTAACCCTCTTCCACACTGATCCCTGCTCATCAACAACAAGTGTCTCCTCATTGATTCATGTTTTTGTTCAACAGTGATAAAGAGGAGCTGCTTCATAACGACCAGTCGTCTGTGGACTCTCTGACTCTGCCAGAGAGTCCCAAACCAGACCAGGCCTGAGAAGGGGCCACAGACGAGACTTTTCATCAACAGTCTTATCTTTAACGTTCTTCCTTTTAACAATCTTTTCCTTCATGCAGCAGTTTTATCTCTATAACTCATCTGTTTCATGTTGACACTAAGATCTTTTAAACTTTGAATGGTCATTTAAAGTCATGAAGTAAAATATGAATGTCTTGGTTTTAGTTTCATGTGACCTAAACACGTCTCATGAAACATGAAACGTAAACACATGACGTAAACATTTTGTTTTAAATTGTCACTCTTCTTCACTTTTCGATTATCGCTTCTTTTTTATACTTTATGGATAAATGATTAAATATTTAATCAGATGTTGTTGATGTGTGTTGAAACTAATTAAAAACATGAAGTTGAATTAAATACAAGAATAAATCTCTAATCTACAACGGTTTTAAACATTTAAAACTAAGTTTCAGTCTGAAAACAAGTTGGTGTATTTATCGATTATTATTGAGCCTCAACTTCGCAATGTCACTCTGATCTGCATGTGAGGAGCTTTTCAGAAACATTTATTTTGACATTTAGTTTTGTAAAATCTTGCAGTTGAATCACATGAGCATAGTTCAATCATTAGTTTATAGCATTATGACTGATGTTATATCTGTGTTAAAGCAAAGATCAGTGATTCTGTTTATCAATAAAAAATAAGCTTAACATTGAAAATCTGTTTAAAGGTTTGTTTCAAATTAATTAGAAAGAAAATTAAATCCCAGTGACTTTTCTACAAATAACTTTAATATTTTATAATGAGAAACTTCCCATCATTTTCAGATTTATTAGTCAATTACTCATAATCAGTGTGTTAAGTTTAATCTGAGATTTATTTTGATTTGACCTGTAATAAATATATTGTTGAATCATTCATGTCTCATGTGTCTGTTTTATAAAACCACATTTATCAACATCATCAGGTTAAAGGTTGATGATACAAACATGTCATTGTTTACTTCAGGTTGCTTCACCAGCTGGTAAGGAGTGGTAGTGTCATTGCATTTACTGTGTCAGGTTTGACAACAAAATTATTATATTATATAAATTCAAAATGTGTTTAACACCAAAAAAGAAAATGTAAATCAGAGGAGATTAGCTCCATGGTTTAATTCTCAAACATGTTTTCTAATACATCACAAGCTGGAGATGAAGTGGCGTTCCACCAGTCAGTATGATTTTTCACCTGGCCTGGAAAGATAGTCTGATAAATGACAAGAAAGCCAAAAGCTCCTATTATTCATAATTAATAGAAGAAAATAAGAACAAGCCCAGGTTCCTCTTCAGCTCTGTAGCCGGCAGAGAGTCACAGCTCTACTGACCCATCTATTCCTCTAACTCTGAGAATCAAGGATTTCATGAACTTCTTCACAAATAAAATTATAACCATCAGTGAAACAATCCTCCACCTCCTCCCCATGAACAGATGCATTGCCCAGAAACCATAGAACCAGCTGTCGCACCAGATTTATATTTGAACCATTTTTCTTTTATTGATCTTTCTGAACTGAAGTCATTGGTTTCATCATCCAAACCAACAACTTGTTATTAGACTCTGTCCCAACTGGACTTTTTGACTTTTTGCAAGATGCTGAACCCCAAAAATGGCCCCTCGTAAATGTTGAATGCCCTAATTGTAAGTTGCTTTGGATAAAAGCATCAGCTAAATGACATTACACAATGAAGTAATGTAACCGGCTATGTAGCACAAGCTTTAAGGTAGCTGTAATTAAAAAAGAGACAATGTTATACTACACCAATAAAATATTATATCCCACATAACAATTCGACACACTGTCCCTTTAAGTCCGAGCTGCATACCTAATACCAATTAAGATGAGATCAAACTTAATTGATCCATACACCAGGGAAATCCAGTCCTCACAGCAGCAGGTCAGAATGAGGTAGATCTTCTGACGTCACATGTTGATTGATATAATATTAATGTATATTGAGTATTTTTAATATAATAAGAAGAACTATAAATCGCATATATTAACCCATGTATGAATATTAATATGATAAAAGATAATTGACAGGGAGGAACAAAGTCCTGGATGCTATTTAAACCCGAACGTGTTTTCATGCGACCTTTCCGGAAGTGACTTTTGGGAGCCAAGATGGCGCAGGACTGGAGCGAGCTAGCGGAAGAAGCTGATGTGGGTTAATAAAACCAGCGGAACCATTAAAGAGCGACAGCACCGACACACACCGTCACCGAGGTAAATGGAGAGGAGGCCGAAGAAATGTGCCGCAGCCCGGGACTCTGCTCCGGTCTCCACCCGCTGTAGCTCCGCAGCTAGCCACTCCGTTAGCATGCTAACATGTCGAGTCACGGGTGTTTGTATCCGGCGGTTCCGGTAACAGTCCACCGGAGCCGCTACACGGACATATTAACGAGTCTTCTCAGCCCGTTGCCCCTGGGTCTGCCCGGGTTTACCCGTCTGTGTCGCGGTTCCTCCAGCAGCTAATGCTAACTAGCAAACAGCAGCTACAACTGAAGATTGTTGTTATTCCGCGTGATATTATTAATGTTATTATTATTTGAATGATTAAAGACGAACATAGACACACAGGAAGTCCAGGGCTTCATAACAAACATCACGTGGAGACAAGGAATCATAGAAAGTCCTCACGTCTTCAGGGTTCATGAGCCCGTTATGACGTCAACGTGGTTCTTCAGCTCAGAAACATGAAAAGAAAGGATTTTACTAATGTGATAATTACACAATAAAAGAAACTCCAGGCCACATATTTTGTAAAATACATTTTTGGGTATAAAATTCCATAAAGAAAGGTTATTAAGAAATGAATGAAGCCAATTAATCTTGAATGAGTTAGGCCTGTGAAGTCCAGAAAACTGTAATCCCCACACTGATGAGTGACACTGATCATCACAGACTTTTAACCAAAGTTTGCGTTCATTATAGGTCGGAGCTCGGCCCTCATAATGACATCCCAGCTCGATAGCCTTCCAGTGGCACAGAAACAATGTTAATGTCAGCCAACTTGCCATTGTTAACAACCGAAGCAGCATATTGTGATTTTTTTTTTTTTTTTTAAGACCATTTTGTTACAATTTCAGAGCTAACAATTTCTAACTAAATGAAACAAAATGAATGACTGCAATTCGCAGTAGTAATCATTTACTGTAGTGACTGTGATAAAAGAGTGTAATGTTAACAAAGTGTGTTTGTCTTTGCTCTTAGCTCAGGGGTCAAAGTAAACGCTGTGTGCTTCAGTGTGAGTGTCAGGTGGTGATGGCGGAGCGGCGGGTGGAGTTAACGTGGAAGAGACACATCTCAGATCAGCTGAAGCTCAGAGACCGAGTGCAGAGACACGCCTTCGAAGAAATCATCCACCACTGTGAGTCAGCTGCCTTATATACTGTCTTTATACTAACATCATATTTAAGGTTATATATACTGACTACATATAACATCTAGGGGAGTAACCATTCTCTCAATCCACTGTTGGGTTCATACCTCTTATTTATTTTTTTCATGGGAGGGGGTGTAGTGGGAAAATGCAGGGGGATGACCTGGGTTTTATTAAATCACCAACATTTGGGTCATTAAGAAAGAGAGGAGAGAGACAGAGAGAGCTACTGCCCGTCATCTGAAGTTCTTTACGTTCACTTTGAATATAACTACAACCTTTGAAGTTTCTGGTGTGGCTACTGAAATAAATACCAGAACTTTGCAGTATGAAGTTCAACTTCCTCTCATTCACTCTCACACATTTATGTCCATTTCAAGGTAAACCCTGTGTTAAACAATGCCTAACCACGGCAACATTTGTGTGTGTTTGTGTATATATGTGTACATTGTGCGATTTAATGTCATACTACATTAGAGATGTTGATGTTTCAGATCATCGTCTGTTGGAGAAATCTGATCTTCAGGCTGTTCTGACTGAGAGATACCAGACAGATAAATATGACGTCCAGAGAGAGTCCAGGTGAGCCCTCTGTACCTCACCCATTTCCTCTCCCTTCACATTGGTACCTCACCCATTACTTCACCTGCTCACTGTCCTGTTTTGTATTTCAGTACGGGAACGGACTCGAGTCGTAGTGATGCTCTGCAGCAGGAAATGGCTCAGATGAGAATCAAGCACCAGGAGGAACTGACAGAACTGCACAAGAAGAGAGGAGAGGTCAGTTCTCATGAATACACAGGAAGTGATGTCCATCACCTGCTCTATCTGCACGCAGGAAGTGACATCAGTCCTATGACTTGATCAATAGCGTTTAGAATTAAGCAAAACAAATATTCAGCGGCCGGGGCTCAATCATTGTCGATGCGTGTTGATTTCTGTGTTTGTGTCGAGCAGTTGGCGCAAAGCGTGATTGAGCTGAACAACCAGATTCAACAAAAAGACAAAGAGATCCAGAGCAACGAGGCCAAGTAAGAATACTGTGTGTCCCATATTCACAAATCACAATTTGTCTTATAGTGCTTAAATAAGGTGTGACATCCTCTGTTCTTTACCCTCAACAAGAGTAAAACTACAAAAAAACCTTTTTAGAACGTAGAATCTTCAGAGAGACATTTGAGGATCTGTCTCAGAGCCTCCATTTCACAACGACCATCAAACTGTTTGATTATCCAGAATAAAAGAAACAGTTACAGCTGTTAAATGCAGGAAGAACAGCTGGTAAAACATCTGATTGTGTCAATGTTGAAGTTACAGTGCCCCCTGGTGGCATTTGGTAAAAATGTATGTGTATGTATGTGTGTGTGTGTGTGTGTATGTGTATATATATGTGTGTGTGTGTGTGTGTGTGTGTGTGTGTGTGTGTGTGTGTGTGTGTGCGTGTGGGGGGGGGGGGGGGGAGCTATTGCAGAGTGTGTGTGGATCACAGGACAAAAGCCTTCAGGTCAGGGTCAGGGAACAACATGTTAACATGCTGTATATACCGCCTCGTTCAAGCAGAGAGTTTTTCTTCTTTCTGTCTTTTTTGATAAATGATATGTAACTTTTTTCAAGGCTGTAAATGATATTTGTATATTTGAAATTCATGTTCAAAATAGAAGTTTATTGTGTTCTTGGATGTGAATCACTGCAAAGAAACAATGTATTATTTTGGGTGTATTCCAGCATGGTTGGTCTAGAGTTACTGTTCCCGCGGAGGTATGTCGTGTGTGTGTGTGTGTGTGTGTGTGTNCACACACACACCCACACCTATATTACGTGACCATGACATAATAAATGATAAATAACTCGGGGTCACGAGATCTGAATCTGTTGTTTACTAACAAGATGTGGTGAAGAAGCCTCTTGATGAGAAACGTTAGAATCCCATGATGTGGTCTCTGAATGAGCTTCAGTTTGACACATGCTGTCTGCACTGACTGTGAGGATACACTTTCACTACTCATCTGAGTAGAAATGGTTTGAGATGCCTTTAAAACTGTTAATATTATGGACAGAACCCAGAGGCACTCCACAGGAGAGAGCAACCAGTTCTGACATGAAAGCACCAAGTGACAATAAAACCCGGATCAGATAAATAGGAGGAGAACCAGTCCAGGGAGCGCAGATTTGATAATCCACAGTAACCCTAGCCCCTCAAATGCTGCGCTAAAAACAGCAGCACCAGTACAGAACATCACCCACATCAGCAGACATCGATATATTGTTCGAGACTCTGGAGAGCCGTTTCAGTGGAA